CATGTAGTTAAACATTAATCTATCTGCAACAACAACTGGAGTTCAATGAAGGAAGCTATTACATAAAAGGAAAAAAAAAATCTAGGAAGTAACATTGATGAAGTTGCTCTCTTGTAACATAGTTAATTTAATTTAGAGAATCACTAGATGAAATGCATGACTAAACAAATAGAAATAAAAAGGTAAATCAGATTAAAAAGGGACTTGAAAACTTATTTTTGTTTCTTTTGTCCATTTTACCAGAAAAATGTTATGTTATCCTCAGCAAACTGTGAGGATAATACACCAGAAAAATGTTGCAAATCCTTAGAAAACTTTGAATAAGAATAATTAAGTATGACGTTCTTATCCAGCAAGTCAGAAATTTTTAGGAAATGTGTTCCTAAAATGAAAAAATGAAAACCACACATCTTCACCTCCATCTTTGGCCTTAATGGAAGGAAACTTCTGAATATCAGAGTGTTTTCCTCTAATCTTTATTAGGTGTAATGGAACAGGAAAAGCTGAAAGTAGGACTAACCTACTGCTTTAGAAAATTACAGTAATTACAGTATCTCAGATATTAATGCACATTGGTGAAATAAATTGAAAATTATATTTAAAAAGATAAAACGAACAAAGTGCTTATTTTATCAAAAGTGCAAGGTTAGAATTCAACCACCTATAAGATTTTTTTAGTCACTATTGTCCTTCAGGACTAATACAAAATTACCTAACAAATTACCTATTTCATAAAATGCAATAGCCATGGAGAATAACGTGTACATTTTTGTAGTATCCTGAACCATATACAGATAAATTAGTAGTCAATAAAATAGGAATCTTTTTTCATCATGTTATCAGTAGTTTATATTTCTATCAAAGACAATATCTGCATGACAAAAATTTAAGATGGTTAGTCTCAGAATGCTGAATTACTTTTAACTCAAACTCTCCCTGAAAACTAAAACAAAAGCAAAATCTAAATATCACAAAGCATATCATTACACACAATTTCTGTTATTTCCAAGCAGAAAGATATTTTCAGGGTGAAAAAGCAGTTTAAATAATTTACAATATATCAAAATGAATAATGCAGAAAAAGAATATTTCTCAGATTTGTTTCATCAATTATACCCTGCTCTCCTGCCAACACAAACCTAAATTTCAGAAGGTGAATTAGATTCTTAAGCCTAGCTATCCAAGTCTTCCCACTCACCACTTCTCTAGAATTGTGTAGTTAGCTCCATAATTCCAGAATCTTTTTGTCCACAACACATTAATTAGCTAAGATGTACCAAAAATCCCAAATCTATAAAATGAATTTTAATACATTTAAAAAATATCACACAGATGCTGAGCTATTTCTTGATAATGATCATGTTAATATTACTCATCTATTTCTTGAAGAGGACTGGTTTTCAAATAATAAAATGATAATTTGATGAGTGTCTAAAAATATTAAATCAAGTCTAAGTAATAGCTTTTACATAAGAACTTTTACATAAGAATGAAAAAATATAAAAATTACATAAAAGTTTCTTATAGTTAAGTGCAGTTCTTTTTTAATAAATATTTTTAATTTTTTAATTACAGTTGATGTACAATATCATATTACCTTCAGATACACAACCCAGTGATTAGCGATTTATATAACTTATGAAGTGATCACCCCAATAAAGCTGATCTCCATCTGACACCATGCATAGTTTTTATAATATTATTATTTTTAATCCTCACCTGAGAACATTTTTCCATTATTTTTAGAGAGAGTGAAAGAGAGAGGGAAAGACACAGAAATATTGATGTAAGAGAAACACAGGGCCTCAGCTGGTGAGGACCCTGCAAACAAGATCCATGCCCTTGACTGGAATTGAACCTGCAACCCTTTAGTCGGTAGGCTAATGCTCTATCCACTGAGCTAAACTGGCTAGGGGTACAATATTATTGATTATATTCTCTATGCTGTACTTAACATCCCCATGACTTCTCTGTAACTGCCAATTTGTACTTTTTAATCCCATCAATTGTTACACCATCCTCTCAACCCCCTCCTATCTGGCAGCCATCAAAATATTCTCTGTACTTATCAGCATGTTTGTGATTTGCTTGTTCACTTGTTTTTTAGATTTCACATATAAGTGAAAGCACATGGCATTTGTCTTTCTCTGTCTGACTTATTTCACTCGGCACAATACCCTCTAGGTCCATCCATGTTGTTGCAGATGGGGAGATTTATTGATTTTTTTTTATAGCTCAGTCATATTTTATTGTATATATGCACTACTTTTTCTTTATCCATTTATCCATCAATGAACATTTAGGTTGATTCCATATCTTGACTATTGTAAATAACTCAGCAATGAATATATAAATGCATATGTCTTTTTGATTTAATGTTTTGGATTGCTCTGGGTAAATACCCAGAAATGGAATTGCTGAGTTTTTCTTTGTCTCTTATTATAGCTTTTTTTTTAAAAGTCTATTTTGTCTGGTATAAGTATTACTACTCCAGCTTTTGTTTGTTCATTTATTTATATTTTTATAAAATAACTTTTTCCATCTGTTTACTTTCAGTCTCTGTGTGTCTTTCAATCTGAAGCAAGTCTCTTGTAGACTGCATATGTAAGGATCTGGTTTTGTTATCCATTCAACCACCTATGTTTTTTGAATGGAACCTTTAAGCCATTTGCACTTAAAGTAATTGTTGACACATATGTTGTTATTGCCATTTTATTATTCATATTTTTAATATTTTTTAAAACCTTTTTTTTTGTAATTCTGGTTTGGTGGTGATAAAATCCTCTAGCTTTCTGTTGTCTGGGTAGCTCTTTATGTGTCCCTTGATTCTAAATGATAACTTTTCTGGATAGAGTAATCTTGGTTGTAGGACCTTCCTATTCATCACTTGGAATATTTCGAGCCAATTCCTTCTGGCCCACAAAGTTTCTGTTGAATAATCAGCTGACAGTCTTATAGGAACACCCTTGTAGGTAACTACCAATTACTTCTCTCTTGCTACTTTGAAGATTCTCTCTTTGTCTTTTACATTTGGCATTTTAAATCTGATGTGTCATGGTGTGGGCCTCTTTGGGTTCTTCTTGTTTGGGATTCTCTGCACTTTCTGAACTTGTATGTCTATTTCAACACTTCTAAGATGTTAATGTTGGTACACTTGATGTTCCTAACGTTCCCTTAAAATGTCTCACTTAAAAAAAAGTTATTATTTTTGCTGTTTTGATTGGGTGTTTTATACTTTCTTATCTTCCAAATCACTTATTTGATCCTCTGTTTCATCTCCTTTACTGTTGATTCTTTGTAATATATTTTTCAATTTCATTCATTACCTTGAGGAATTTATATTTTAACTAGAGGCCTGGTGCATGAAATTCGTGCATGGGGGTGTGTCCCTCTCCAATCTGGGACATCCCTCTCACAATCCAGGACTGCTGGCTCCCAATTGCTCACCTGCCTGCATTCCTAATTGCCCCAAAACTGCTTCTGCCTGCCAGCCTGATCACCCCTAACCACTTCCCTCTAGCCTGATTGATGCCTAACTGCTCCCCTGCCAGCCTGGTTGCCCCTAAATGCTTTCCCCTACAGGCCTGATCCCTCCCAACTGCCCTTCCCTGCAGGCCCGATCGCCCCCAACTTCCCTCCTCTGCCAGTCTGGTCACCCCTAACTGCCCTCCCATGCAGACTTAGTTGTTCCCAACTGCCCTCCCTTGCAGGCCTGGTCTCACCCAACTGCCCTCCCCTCCTGGCTTGATCACCCACAACTGCCCTCTCTTGCATACCTGGTCCCTCCCAACTGCCGTCCCCTCCTGGCCATCTTGTGGTGGCCATCTTGTATCCACACGGGGGCATGGGGTTGTTTAAATGACAGTCAATTTGCATATTACTCTTTTATTAAATAGGATAGATGTCTGGAGCATGGGTGCACCAGCTGGTTTGCCTTGAAGAGTGTCCCAGATCAGGGTGGAGGTTCCCTTGGGGCATGGCGTTGCCTGGGTGAGGGGCCTGTGGTGGTTTGCAGGCCAGCCATGCCCCCCAGAGACCCAAGTGGAGGCCCTGGTATCTGGGATTTATTTATCTTCTATAATTAAAACTTTGTAGCCTTCAGCAGAGGCCAGGGCAGGCCAGGTTGCTAGAGTGGGAAGCTTGGCTTCTATCACTGAGGAAACCGAAGCCTCCTGCTCTCTCCGGCTCTGTGGTTGCTGCCATTTTTGTTGGGATTTATTTATCTTCTATAATTGAAACTTTGTAGCCTTGAGTGGAGGCCTGTGCCTGCCAGGGTGTGTGAGAAGCTTGGCTTCCTCCATTATTAGGGGAATCCAAGCCTCCTGGGCGCTCTATGGCTGCAGCCATCTTGGTTGGGTTAATTTGCATACTAGCTCCTGATTGGCTGGTGGGTGTGGCTTGTGGGTGTAGCAGAGATATGGGCAATTTGCATATTACTCTTTTATTAAATAGGATAAGATAGAGATAGACAACACAACTAGTGGCAGTAAGATAAATTATAATTGTCTCTGATGGGAGATACAAACAAATTATTAGTTTGCTAGGAATATGTTAGAAGATAATCCTTCACTGAAACTATGTTATGTGAATGGAGTCTTGGAAAATGTGTTGATTTTTGGCAGTCAGAAATAGAGATAAAAGACATTCTGATAAGAGGAAAAAGTATAACATATTCTACATATTTTTAAGTTTTCAAGTATTTTGGAATTAATAATTTAGGTCAATTTTTAATTCTGATTTTAATAAATGTGAGGACAGTGAGCTAGCTAGTCCTAAGACTTAGGAGGGTCAACAGATAGTAAATATATAAATGGAAAACCTGATATTTCTGCAAATGTTACTATTTACACAGTAAATTTGAATAGAGGGAGTTTTCAAAATATATAATCTTATAAAGTATTTCTCTAATAGCTTCCCAAATTGCTTTCCTCCTATTTTTGCTACTTGGGTAAATGCATCAACTCTGCTTAAAAACAGTAATAATCTCCTTTTATTCATAGGTTTTCTGTAAAGACCCTGATCGATCGATCCTGTTTTGAGACAATTGATGATTCTTCTCCTGAATTTAATAATTTTGCAGCAATTTTGGAACAGATTCTAAGTCACCGGCTAAAAGGTAATAGCACAAGTGTATTATTTATCTCCCAACAGCTCTCTTTTTAATAAGCTTACAGTTTTAGAAATGATACAGTCTGGGGTGATTTAGATAACAACCATGCCAAATCATGAGAAGCATAAAAGTGATTTTAGAATACATAATCTTTTGGCCTATGTATCTGGGAAGAATTTCTGTTCTCAAATGTGTACCCATTTTTAGGATGGTTTAAAAATACTGAATGTATACTTTGAAACTCTTATTTATAGTCATTATAAACTGTGATCCATTAGATTTTTCCATTAAAACATAGGTGCAATAAAATAAGTCAGTATAAGAATTTATAAGAAAATGTCCTTAGCCGATTAGCTCTCCAATACCAACTCCAGAGGTGAATAGAATGTGTAACTTCCATAAACTTACTATAATGAAGATTACTTTAAAATGTTTGTGAAAAAGGGTTGAATTTAATTACATAGGGAAACAAAATCTGAATTCAGTCATCCCTTTGCAGTTTAAAAGGTGATCCATATAATCTCTAATGCTTTCCTACTAGAAGTTGATTATTTTGCATTTTGAAATGGTTACTTTTTTTCTTATGTTTGCTGTTCTGTATTTCTTAAATTTTCTGCCATTAATATATTACCTTTTATTAAAAGTTTGTTTTAAAGTATAGGATATGAGAGTATTTTGAGATATTGCTGTGGTTTCTATATTGTGTGGTGATTATATTTTTATATTTTACTTTATAAACTTATAAATGATACCAGACTAAAAAAACACAGGTAGTATGGTAGAGCCTGATGTTTCTAATGTTCACAAGTGTTGTTGTTTTTTTTATCATAAGATCTTAATTCCTGTGATATAACATTTATCATACAATTGATTCCTTCACAAAATACATAAACAACTATCAACAGAAAACAATTATGCCACGTTGAGATAGCCATGCTGAGTGATCAGATGGACTCTCTACCACAAACTGGACCCCTTCTGCACATCTACCTGCTATATTCTGAGTCATGCCTCAGCAAAATATAAATCGGAGACCTTGAGAATTACGTCTAATGGTGAATGTTATTTCCGAGAAGCCAATGAATTAAACTATGTTGAAAATAGAATCTCTAGTTGATTTATGATGCAAATTCCACTAATATTATTAAGGCAGTGAGAAAGGTGATACAGTAAGATATGTGTTAATTTTTTAAGCTATGTAAGATTAATAATTCAAAAGTTTTATTTCTAAAGATACATTTTTATTGACTTTAGAGAAGAAGGGAGAGGGAGAGAGAGATAGAAACATCAATGATGAGAGAGGATCATTGATTGGCTGCCTCCTGTGTGCCCCACATTGGGAATCGAGCCCAGGCATATGCCCTGACTGGGAATCAAACTGTGACCTTCTGGTTCAGAGGTCAACACTCAACCACTGAGCCATGCCGGTCAAGCAATAATTCAGAACTTTTAAAAAACATTTCCTGTGTGTGTGTGTGGGTGGGGGTGGGGGGATAAGAGGGTGGTTGGGAATGAGCAAAAAAGGAAAAACTCATGGACATGGACAACAGTGTGGTGATTGCCAGGGAAATAGGGAGTAGAGAGGGAAGAGGGAGTGGGAGGAGGTGGAGAAAGTATTGGGGAGATTAATGGTGATGGATGGAAACTTGATTTGAGATGGTGAACACACAATACAGTGTATAGATGACATGTTATAGAATTGTGCACCTAAAACCTATATAATTTTGTTAACCAGTGTCACCCCAATAAATTCAGTAAAACAGTGCTTTAGATTAAGAATTACAAAATGAAATAACAAAAAATAAAAATATTTTCTGAAGATCAAATATAGTCACTGTCAATATATACCATATTAATATATCAAGACCCATGATCATTTCAAAATGTGGTCTTATTAATGTGCATTAGGATGAGAGCTTTCTACTTTCTTATTCTACTTTCTACTTTCTTCTGAAAGAAATATTCCCAATTTTAAATAGTCACAGCAAAATTTAGATTAGCAAAAACTACCAATTTGTACTTCTTAATCCCTTTACCTTTTTTTCACCCAGTGCCCCCAAACTCCTTTCCCTCTGACAACTATCAGTTCTCTATGTCTGTAAGTCTATTTCCATTTGTTTATTCTGTTCTTTAAATTCCACATATAAGTGAAATCATTTGATATTTTTCTTTTTCCGTCTGAGTTATTTCACTAGCATAAAACCCCATCACAAAAAATAAGATTTCATTATTTTTTACTAGTGGCTCAGTGCACAAATTCATGTACATTGAAAGTGAATTAATTAAAAGAGATATTTGAATATTGCTATTTGTCCTGATTGCCATCCCCTCACTCTGCCTGCTGGCACCTGCCTTGGATGGCCTGGTGCCACCCACTTGGTAGCCCTGCCTCCCACCGACTGGTCGTTCTTCCATTTGATCAATTTGCATGTTACCCTTTTATTATATAGGATGGCTGAGTTGTATTCCAGTGTGTATATGTACCAAAGCTTTTTTATCTACTCATCTATTGATGAGCACTTGGGTTATTCCATATCTTGGCTATCTATAATAATCCTATCTAGTAAAGAGGGAATATGCTAATTGACTCTCACACCATTGCAAAGATGGCACCCACAGCCAATAAGGAGGGAATATGCTAATTGACTGTCCCGCCCTTAAATATGGTGGTGCCTACAGCCACAAGATGGTTGCACTCAGTCCTCTCAGCCCCACAGCTACCCAGGCTGGCTCGAGGTGCAGGCAATTCCTGGATAGTGGCTGCCCAGCTGTCCAGGGCTGCCCAAGACTCAGGTAACCAGGGCCGGCCAAGGTTTGCACTGCCAGCAGTGGTAGCAGCAGAGGTGTGATGGGGCATAGACTTCCTCTGATCATCAGGTCGCCTCCAGCCCCTGAGGGTTCCCCATTCTGTGTGAGGAAGGCTGAGCTGAGCAATGTTGCCCTCCAATGTATGAATTTTCATGCACCAGGCCTCTAATAAAAGCATAATATATTTATTAGACCAGATGTCCTTCCAGCCGTCCTTCCTTCCAGATAAAGCTGCAGGAGGTAGGGGCCAGAGCCAAGGCTTTGTACAAATTTTGTTCATTGGGCCTCTGGTTGTAAGTAATGTTGCAATGAACATGGAGGTACACATATTCTTACAGATAAGTGTTTTGAGTTTCTTTGGATATATCCCAGAAGTGGAATTGTTGGGTCATAACTTTTTGAGTAACCTCTGCACTTGTTTTCCACGATGGTTACACCAATCTCCATTCTTACCAAAAGAAATGTACTTTTCTCCACATCTTCACTAATGCTTGTTGTTTGTGGGTTATTATTAATGATAACCATTCTAACATGTGTGAGGTGGTATCTTGTGGTTTTTATTTGCATTTTGCTGAAGATTAGTGATGATGAGCAACTTTACATATATCTATTGGCCATTAGTTGTCTTCTTTGGAGAAGTGTCTATTCAGGTCTTCTTGCCACTTTTTAATTGGGTTGTTTTATTTTTTGGTTTTGTTTTTCTAGTTGAGTTGTATGATTTTTTAAAACAAATTTTGGATATTAACTCCTTAGGGATGTATCCTTGACAAATAGCTTCATGCATTCAGTAGGTTGTCTTTTTGTTTTTCTTGATGGTTTCCCTTGCTGTGAAAAAAACTTTTTAGTTTGTTGTAGCATGTTTATTTTTTCTTTTGTCTCCCTTGCCCAGGAAGATGTATCAGAAAAAAAATATTGCTAAGAGAAGTGTCTGTGATTTTATTGCCAAATTTTTATCTAGTAGTTTTAGGTCTTATATTTAAGCCTTTAATCCATGTTGAGTTTATTCTGGTGTAAGACAGTGGTCTGATTTCATTTTTTGAACTTTTATTTTAAAGCATAATCTTTCTCTTGATCCCACTTCTACCTCTCATACTAAAAACCAGTGTAAATGCCGAATATGTAAGTGGTGTGTCTTGGTGAAGCAAGGTGAGGAAATCGGACAGTTTGCCTGCTCGGCATAGTTGCGCCCCTTGCCCCCTGCTTCCCGAACTCCACAGCACCATTTCAGGTAGCACCACAGATATAGACTAAATATCACTACTCTAGCCTCTCTCCTACTGAAGCAATCCATTTACTGGTATTTCTTACTCATAGATATGCAGTTGTTTAAATACTTCTGATATTTTTTAGCTTTGGATAGTTAAATAGTCCACATTTTTGTTCAGTTGAGATTGTTAGGAAATTCTGTGTATATGAATCCAAACTATCTGACTGTTCTTTCCGTCACCTTTTTCAAATGTGAGGAAAATTAATTTTAAACTATTGCTATTGCATAACTTTCTCCTCAGTTCCTCCCCCCTCCCCCTTTTTTTTTTCTACTAGGTAAGTTATCTTTAGTTCCTTCAATCTTCTGGAATCACCATAATCTTAGTTATCTTTCTGGCATATCACTGGTTTGCTAATATTGCTCTTAAAAATCTGGTACATAAACTAAGTAACATGCTTCAACGAGGTTCATCTTTGGCCCTAACTGGTTTAGCTCAGTGGATAGAGCGTCGGCCTGTGGACTGAAAGGTCCCAGGTTCGATTTCAGTCAAGGGCATGTACTTTGGTTGCAGGCACATCCCCATTTGGAGGTGTGCAGGAGGCAGCTGATTGATGTTTCTCTCTCAATGGTGTTTCTAACTCTCTATCCCTCTCCCTTCTTTTATGTAAAAAAAAAAAAAAAATCAATAAATATGTTTTAAAAAAAAAGAGGTTCATCTTTGTATTAAGGCCAAGTGAAATCCCAATGATGTTCAAAAATTGACAATTACTTATGTTTTAGGTTCTGTAAATTAGTTGTCTGAGCTCAAGTTTAATAGGAATAAATGCAGTATAATTTCCTTTATCATCCACTCTTTAAAGATGGGGAACATGGTTGTAAAAATGAAATTTAAGAGGACTTCTACTTGCAGGAAGATGAAGTGGGCATACTTTTCTCTCTTTCTCCCACTAACTATTGTATAACCAGTTCAGCAATAGAAAAAGAAAATTGC